CGATCAACGACCAAGCCGTGGCACACTTGGCGTTCAACGATATTGTGGCGATTTTGAAAGAGCTCCCGTTGGGGTCGTCGGTGAAGCTCTCGCTGCTGCGCATCTCGTTCGCAAAGGCGTTCTCACTCGCGACACTCGCGCTCCAGTCGCATGCGTTTTGCTCGACGCACAAGCTCGCGCTCGACGAAGACCAGGTCGTGTGGGAGTACGCGCTGCGCATGCAGGCGACGCTCGGCGACTGCGTGTCGCCCAAGCCGTCGATGCTCGCGTTCGAAGAGCGCGCCAAGTTTGACGGGTACATGGCCCTCGCCGGCCTCTCGGGCCATCTGGCCATGCACCGGTACCTGAAACTCTACCTCTCCTGCTTTTCGCAAACAAACTGGCAGCCGATCGAGGCGCTCGACCACTTGCTGGCCTTTCACAACCCCGAGACGCCGCGTCTTCCGACCGCGCTCCCGACGGTCGTGCTTGTCGACTTTGCGCGCTCGGTGCTGCCGATGGGGAAGAGCGATTTGCATCTCCTCGAAGCGACGAGCGTCCACGTGCTCGCGGCCAACTGCAAGAACGACCCGTGCGGCGTGCTCTCGTCCATTGCGATCCCTGTGCCTAGCACGTACACGAACCAAAACAGCCCGATGCAGCTCCTCGCCGTCTCGCCCGACGATACCCGCGTCGCCGTCGCAGGGGCCCGTGGCTTTGCCCTCCTCCACAAGGTACGATGCACCGTCAAATCCGCATCTCTCCGATCGAGTGCACTCTGTGTGTAGCCCAAAGGTGCGTGGCTCTGCTTCGGGAACGTTCACGACGAGCAAGCCTTCCGCGTTGTCGCGATGGACTGGTGGCACAACGAAGCGCTCGTCGTTCTCGTGCTCCAAGACGATCTGCTTCTCATTGACGTCTACGCCCGCGACCGCCTCGATGCCCGCTGCTGCCGCCTCGTCTTGCCGCCGACCGCGTTCTTTTACGCGATTGCCGTCGACCACGATCGCGTCTACTGCCTCTCGCTGCAGCAAGTGCTCGTGTACCGCATTGCGACGTCCGGGTCGGCTGACGCGGGGAGTCTCCGCTTTGAGATTGAGTTTGAGCGGGCCGAGGCGCTGCCGCGCTGCAACGCCATGGTCGGCCAAGCGCACTTGTTTGTGCCGATTCCGCGCCTCCTGCCACAGTCGAATGCCGCATACAAGAAAAGCGGCGCGTGGTTCACCGGCTGGCTCGGTCTCTTGGGCGAATCAAACAAGCATATGCTCTTGCCACGGTTCGCGCTCCTCGATACGCTCGGGTGTCTCTACGTGTGGGACCCCGAAACAAAGGAGCAGGTGCTCTTGGCCAGTGACATCTCGCACGTCTCGACCTGGCGCGGCCCTCACGAGCTCCCGACACCGTGCACGCTCATGCACGGCTTGTATGGCCCCAAGGGCTTTCAGGCGTGGTGGCCGCTCCTGGACGGCGTTGATTTTGAGCCGAAGGCGCATGCCGATGCACTCCGATCGTTTCTACAAGTCCACGACCCGATGCGCGCGCGCAGTATGGGCAAGCTCCAAGGATCGCCCGAAGAGATGGCCAACACGTACTATGAGCTCTTGGCCGAGTACGGGGTCCAACTCGAGATCGCCAACGCCGAGCCAGAGTCGTCGGATATTCCGACATCGGTGCACTGCATCATGGTCGATCCTGTCTTGAAATTCAACCCGGAAGTGCAGCTCGTGGGGATCCATGCCCGGTTCGGCGTCCTCGTTGGCGCGTTCCAAGACCAATACGTCGGCATCTACGACATTGCGGCCCGTGTGCAGCCGCTCTTGCACTCGCTTCTCTCGCTGTTGCTGGTGCAGAAGCAGTCGACGCTCGCGCACGCGTGCTTGGAGGTCATGACGGCGCGCCTCGGTCTCACGACGCCTACGAAAGAGCTCGTGCTCGTGACCGCACTCGACAATGCGTTTCGACGGGTCTGGCCGCGTGCAGTCGTCGAGCGCACGCTGCTTTTGCTGCAGGACCCCGAGAACGAGATGGAAACGTACTGCGAAATCGTGGCCAACGTCGCGCGCAAGGTCGAG